GGCATACACACAGACATACTGACACACACACAAACACACAGACACACTGACACACACACACAGACATACTGGCACACACACACAGACATACACACACACACAGACCTACTGACATACATTTAGCCACCCTCCAGGTTCTTACCTTTTCCTGGAGGGTGGTTTCCCTGGTCCAGTGGCAGGCTGAGGCAGATGGGAGTTCTCTTCTTGAACTCCCCTCCTCCCTGCCTTCCTCCTCCCGCGCGGCTATCTCCGGTGGGAGGAAGTGACGTCACTTCCTCCCAGCCGGCTGCAGAACCGGAAGAGGGGCCCGGTCGCGCTGTTTAAGCGCCACAGCGCCCGACCGGGCCCCTGCTGACACATGCTCCCCGGGTGGCCCTTAGTGCATGGGCCACCCGGGGAGCCTCCTCAGTGTGCGGGAGCCGCAAATCGCGGGGCCCACAGAGCAGCTGCTCTGGGCCCCCAGGAACAACTGGGCCCGGGGCAGCTGCCCCGTTTGCCCCGCGTTAAAGACGGCCCTGAGCAGGCAGGGAGGGAGGACATTGAGAACCCCTGGCTTGTCTGCAAGGAAGAAACTCATTACATGTATTGGCAGTGCGTGCTGACAACAGACATAATGTTTGCACAAAATTGACATTAGGCAGTCCAGAACATAGGTACAGACTGGCAAAGTCACATGTGCCATGGGTGTAACTAGCCCCCCAAACAGAAAGGCTGCACGTACAGACTCCTACCATCATGACCACTTCTCAAAGCAGAAGTGGTCATGGTGGTTGGAGTAACCCTTTAATTATTCTGGGATACTTTGGTCCTTTCATTTAGTACACAACATGAATAATGTATTTTTATTAAACACTGATTATACGTTATACATTTTCTTATATACTGCACTAATATTGTCATAATTTTTACCTTTATTTTGAACACTGCGTGCAGTCTATTCATGGCAATTATTATATATAATTGAAATTATTTTCCAGTGCAGTTATTTGTAAAATAAACAGTCTTAGAGATTTAATTTTTATTTTTTTTAAATATCCTCCCTGAAAGGGTGAAGATAATTAAACACAAGTGCTAATGACTTACATATATTAAATTCTCAGATAAAAGCAAACATGTTAATTAGAAAATGAACATCATTTGAATTTACTGTCAGCTGATTTTACTGGTTTTCTAAAACACAATGTAGACTTTAACCTCAGGATCCAATTCAAACTGCTAACACTAACCTACAAGGCCCTCACTATCTCCCCTCCTTACTACAATTAATATTTACAAATACACCCCTTTCTCGCTCCCATCGCTCTGAAAATAACCTTCTTGTGGTATCTGCTATTTCCCGCGTTGCCAACTTTAACTGTGGGATTTTTCTAGGGCTGCCCTGTTCCTTTGAAATTCGCTACCCCATGCCATTGGACTCTAGTCTCCAGTCCTTTAAGAAGTCCCTGAAAACACACCTCTTAAGAAAAGTTTACCACCTACCTCTAATTTCACTACCTTCATCAGTTCCTACGCCTCCATAACCCAGCTCACTCTTTCTTGCCGCAACCCACCTTTACGGACTCATTTCAACACAGCAATCTTATTCTTCAATCCTTCCTCCCCTCTGACATACTGTTCTTCCTTTTGTATGTGTATACCTCGTATTCACAGATCATAAGCTCTTTTGAGCAGGGCCTTCTTAATGACTTGTATATTCTATTATTTTTGTCAATTACTTGCTTTCAATTATCCCCATTTTATAATTGTCACCGTAGAATATGGTGGCACTATATAAATGCTAAAAATCATAATAATAATGAAGGGGAGCAGATATAATTGGAAGTGTACCCCTGAATGCCAGATATACACCTTTGGTGACCACTTCTACCAGGAAGTATACAGGAAGAGCCAAAGACCTACAAGACTTTTGGTGACCAAATCTCTCATCTGTCCTTCTCACAATGGTTATATTCAACAGAGTAAGCAGGAATACGATGTCATATCATTTGACATTTGTCCATGGCTCAAAGAAAAATAAATAAAATCTACTGGAGATACTGAAACTGTATCTCTAGTTTTCTCTCCTGTACATCTGCTGTATGTTCATCTACTGCAACCGAAGACAAAGAATCAGTAAATAAGCACCAAGAGAAGGAGGCATTGGCTGTTACCTTTTACCTAGATTAAAGGACAGTATTGAAAACACAGTATATTGAGGTGAAAATATGCCATATTATATATGTTAAAGGACCACTATAGTGCCCTGAGGGTGCCCCCACCCTCATGGCCCCCCTCCCGCCGGGCTGAAGTTGGAGGAAGGGGGTTAAACACTTTCTCCAGCGCTGGGGACTCTCCTCCACCTTTGGACGTCATCAGATGAATGCGCATGCGCGACAAGAGCCGCGCACACATTCAGTCAGTCCAGTCCATAGTAAAGCATTCTCAATGCTGGCATCTTCTCACTGTGAAAATCACAGTGAGAAGTGCGGAGGTGCCTCTAGTGGCTGTCAATGAGACTGCCACTTTTTGTTGGATTAACCCAAATGTAAACATAGGCAGGGTTAATCCTATATGGACCTGGCACCCAAACCACTTCATTGAACTGAAGTGGTGTGGGTGCCTATAGTGGTCCTTTAAAGCTTTGCCTGGAGTTGTGGAAGGGGCTTGGTGTTACCTATAAAATGGACTCCCCCTTTCCTACCCTACCATTAAAGGTCTGGCGATTTACATACCCTCCCTCCACACCCTTTATTCATCAATATTCTACTAAGAATGGGCCTACTTTTATTTCCAGGCCTACCGCATCGTCGGTTCCGGCACACCTCAACCGACTTTTCCTATAACAAGTTACGTCACAGCACAATCTTGTATCATCAATATCGATGTTGCCCCCGAACACAAATATATTATAGTTTATATATTATATATATTAACTGGCAGTGGAATCAAAGTGAACCAGATTAATGTGCATACACCTAACAGTGAGTGGTGGCTGCTTCTAATAAATTAAAAGTCAAAGATAACAAGTTACAATATCTAGTCATACTGACGTATAGCTGAAATGATGCACCTAAGGCACCATTTTGGCATTGCACATCTATGATGTTCTGACATTGTTCTGATCACATCAGACACTAGACCTATATATACTTGGGCCACCAGGAAGCCTGAGTCCTGTTCTGGTCTGTAATAGCCCAAAAATTCATTTGATATTGCTCTTTAATTACCAGGTTACTGTATTTTGACTTGTTTTGACTATCCTGAATCCTGTAATCCTGACCTCAACTTGTTTACCCATCCTGTTGCTATTCTGTACCCCCTTGACCTCGGCTTGTTCTTTGACTATTCTCCCTTTATATTACGGAAGGCCCCAACCAAGTCTAAGGACTGGTTGGACATACATATTTGCATGTTGGAACTCTGTAGTAACCTAACAAATACTCATTGAATATATATTTGTGCAGATTATATATAGGTTCCTGCATGTAAGAATCCTGCAAGACAGATAGCTAGAGTTGCATGGATGTTAAATAGTTAACTGCCCATACACAAATCTAGCACCAATTTATCAGAATAGGAAGACAAAATGTAAACTTAACCACGAGTTGAATGAACACCGGGCACACAGCATTGCAAAAACAAAACATCATTACACAGAGAAAACTATTAAATGATTGTGTAATTAAACTAAATTTTTATCACATATATTGCCAGAGAAATGGAAGCATAGTAACTCGGGAGACAGTGTCTCATTCTATAAACAATATTTATGAGCCAGCTGTGCGCACTGTAGACCATGACTAAAAGTTTAGCTCTGGCCGCTGAGCGATCTCATGGGATGGATGGGAAGTTTATACGATTTACTAATTTCTACATCCAAGAGGGATCGTACAGTGCCCTAAGTTTGTGACTGTTCATGGTCCAACTCACGTGAGTAATATTTGTGTAAATTTTATATGTGGACTAACCGGCTTTACTTAAAGTCTTTTTCCTTCAGTGTTCCTGATCAATAGACATTGAGACAACCAGATCAATATATCACAGAGAATGTCACCCACGGGCATATAGATCATATACAATTTACTTTAATTTCATTTAATCTATTTTTTTTTTGTGTGTAATATCTTTTTTTCTATTATATTTATACAAGGAATTTCTACATTATGATTTAGTTGGGTTATTTTATTACTTGCATGATGTTGTTCTCACCCACATATTTTTGTTCTAATACTAGTACAGACATTTCGACTGTATTTTTTTAATCTGAATCCCCCTAGTAAGTGCAGCGGTTGGAAATTTTTTACGTTATTCATCTTTTTTCCTGTGTGTGAAACAAAGCACTTTAAAAGGTATCTCTTTTCTTCGAGGGAGTTCTCATCTCCTCACCACAATGTGTCAGACTGACAGAAGTGGAAACTGAATATAAAATGAGGTGTTTCATGTATCTACAGAAGGGAAGACACCGGGAAATTGCAGTGTTTCAGTTATTTTACTCCTACAATTAGTGTACTTCAAGTAAAATTACAGTGTATAGAAAGTAACTTGCTCTGACTCGTACAAAAGAACAGTTTGTTTTTACTGGATGATTCACTTGTGGATGGACAAATATATTATATATGTTATAAATGACGCTTAAAAAAACCTAAAAACATCAGTTGACACACTCTACACTTCTTTTAATCATCTAATCATCACTGTTGTACTTTGCATGCCCCCCAACCACAACGAAGATTTGAGAAATTGTGTCCAGCCTGTAGATTAACTCCTGTGTCCTACATTCTGTTCCTGTTTTAAGCTCTGTTAAGTGATATCACCTTTATGGCATGCCGTAATGTAATCTTCGTATATCACCTGTGATACCCGGTGAATAGAGGCTTTTACCTGAAACAAAATATGACACCGCACTGTGACATAGAGAACAATATGATAAACTCACAGGAGCAATGAACATGTCACAGCAAAGAACCAATTAATTACTTTCAATTAACTAAAAGGAGAATTGTGAAAACTTGCACTCACTTCACAGACGAGAAAGGTTTACTCAAGTAATCTGAGAGAGCAAGGAAAAGTACATAGTAACAATGACAAACAAATTAATAATATACTGTAATCAAAATATATCTGGGTTATCTATTCCAAGTTTGTTTATATTCTAATATTTTTTTCTTTTTCTAATATAAACATCGTTTTAAAGATGGAGTCTAAGCTGAGTTCAAAAAAACAGTACCACAATTTCGAGCATCATGGTTTCATCAGGAGAGCATGAACATGCATTGATCTTCTTGACATTTTG